AGAACATTCTGCAAGCAAGGAATCACACACACACACATATATACATACAAAGATACATGCATACAAACGAAGATAGGGCTTTTAGTATTATATATGAATTCGTCTCGATTGAAGGCAAGCAGACTTATTCATAGCCTGAGTTATTCTGACGTTAACACATACTTTGCAGTGCTCTAGGAGGGCTGATTTTCAGGAGAAATAGAAAGAGCATACAGCAAGATTGAAGTATAAGGCAGAACAACAAGTGACCGACCAGTTGGATGGGCTGGTAGTCAAGGCGAAAGGCGTGGCAATTTGGGTGGTCAAGACTGAAGGATTCCATTTACAGACTAGCTTCTCCTCCCCCGCCCAACCCAGTCGTCATACCAAGCTTTACTACCTGACCCCTCTGCTCGATCAGAATATGCTCGCATAACCGACTTTGTTAGGAAACTTTAGACCTCCTTAGGTGGCCTCGGCCAGACAGCAGAGCATAACATTGAGGCTAGTTTCCAGCCTTACGCTTAATGTCATTTTTCCATACATATAGAGGGGAATGTGTGTGCGTAAAGGTACGGCGTACATGCACTTATGTATGCGTAGGCTATTGTTGCAGTAGTCCGTTTGGCCATTTACGTCCACCTGACAGATAGCACTCTTTCTCCATCCCACGTGTGCGTTTGTACAGACCAAGTAGGATTCTAGAATGAAGACCTCCCAGTCTGGAAGTATGGCGTAGACAGAGAAAATCTTCGGAGACGGCGGCGGCAGCGGCAGCGACGGCCTTGTTGATGCAGTGTGTGTATAGATTACTGTGTACAGGTGTGTGAAACGGCAGGATAAACCATGCTAAAAGGGCGAGTGGGGAGAGACAGTGGTAGGACATCGGCTAGTTGGCCTGACCATTCGGCGTTTGATGTATCGACGTGAAGACATGGTAATGTGTGCGTTGGTGGGCAAAAACTAAATGTGCATATAAAGGGATTTTTGCACTTGCCATTTAGCAAAGTGGAGGAAATAGCGAATGGCTGTAGAAACAGATTTCGCGGATGACAGTGGAGAAGTGGAAGGACAACAAAATGTGTTGAAAAGAAATGGAGAGCAGATTTTATTTTCCAAAAGCAGCAGATTGACGGGGCTAGCATTTTGATTTAAATAAATATCTGCTTGATACCTGCCTCGTACCCCAATCGGGAAGTACAGCCCAACTAATCAGCATCTTCATCATAGTCATGATCATCGAAGACACCAGCTTCATCATCTTCAATGACTTTGATAAGAAGATTTAGCTACCAGTCCTTAATCACCTTAAACGAAATTGGGTTAATACAGCTCTTTTATGAGATAGGATAGCCAGTTTTCGCAAATTACCTAATATATATTAATAAAAGCTGAATTTCGAAGAATTGCCTAGAATTTTTATGCCACTAGACTTTCATTTTGAAATAAAATTGGCGGGAAAGTGAGTAATAAATAGCACATGGAGATGTGGCTGTACATGTCTTGTGCTTAGAGTTTGAAAATTTTCTCAAAGGAATGTTTTGGGTCCTTATAATGTCTGTCACAGGCATTTGGTTACCAAAGGCCAAATTACATTTCCCAAATAATGAAGCAGTTATTCCTATTCTCGATCAGAAACAGAGATCGGAGCAAGTGTCTTGGGCTACATTCACTCATTTAAAACGATGAGCAACAAGAGGAAAGCATAAATGCAACGGGCGAAAGATATACTCAAATTTCGCCCACCAACTTAGCATATATATAATACGGAGTTAGCTGAAGCCCTAACGTCAAACCCGACCTAGTGAAAGCAACAAATCGAAATTGCTCAACCCTATAGTCTTTCATGTGACCCCATAGCGTTGTAAACTGCGCAAGTGAAAGCTTTCGAACCAAAAAACAAAAAGATTAAAATTTGATCGTAGAAATGAAGAACAAGATGGTGCGGCCTTCTGTTTGCTTGCAGTCTTCTTTAGTTTAATTGTGTTGGCTCGACCAAGTTTTTGCAACTTGAGCTCAGCCTCAGGGAGACCTTGTGGATGCTCCAACTAAGTTGCTAAAACAAGGCCGAGTCAACACTACAAAACGTTGAGTTAAAATTTTCCATTTCAGTGTATTAGCCGTCAGCACATCTTCCTACCCCGATGAATCCTTGCTGAGCTCTCCTATAAGATCCATTATAAAATCATAACGATAAACAATTTTTAAGCCAAGCCTTACACAGTAAGAATGGTTTTTAGATTTAATTCACCCAGTTCCATAAAGGCCAAAGTTTGATATTAATTAGGTAGCCGATTAATTGGTTGGCTAATTCGTTGATGGATATGCCATATAACATAAAAATGGTTATAAAAAAGATTTGTAATCATCTTCTTTCTTTTGATCATGAATGATTATCATGGGGTAACATTGTGCTTGTTTTCCTATGCAATAGACACGTGAAGCCCATATTTCTTGAGTCGTAACTAAATTTCGTCTTAATAAAGTCCTACTTTTATGTATTAACCAGAGATGATTACTTTCCAGCTTTCCACACTCTCATTTCAAGATGCTATTCATCTTTAGTTAGATCGACTCCTAAGCCCAATGTCTAACTCTTAGTTATCAATATCCCTAACGTTCTGATTTTGAGACCAATATATTTAGTGCTCTCTACTAGCCAAGCTTTCAGAAAACTCTGACTTTTGCAACTGAAGTAATTGCAAACCGTCTTGTGTTCAGCCAACTTCTTATTAATGTGCCCATTAATCTCCACAGGATAAACACAAATTCATGAAGAAAAACGCTATAACAACCCGATCTATAAAGACCATCGGAATATTTGAAAAAGAAAGTGTCAGCCACTTATTCTACGTCGTCCAAACGAAGAAGTGACTACGATCCAGAACTATGAGAAGAAATCTAGATAGATTAAAAGTGATGACCAGTGCGAAAATTGCATTCAGTAAGCCTTACCTGGAGGTAGAACTGGCGCAGCACAGGAAGAGAAGATATGGCAGCTGAGAAAAAAGCACAGCTTAAGACCACTGCCCCAAAAAGAAGACTGGTTCCATGCTCCACAAGTGGACGATGTAGTTCCTGATCATTTGTCAGCGTCTGAATGTGGCATCCACGAATGAAATACATTTTTGTATAGAAGAAAGAGAACGAAAGAGAGATTAAGAGAAAATAAAGTATTTCGAGGAGATTGAAAAAACCTAAAGGATCCCAATTGTCATAGTGTCCAGCATCAGAACGGTGACCTGGTGCATTCCCAGACACGTCAGAGCGAAGCGCCATTTTAAGCACCGGGCCATAACTAATAAGATACTTGTTTCTGTACCATATCAACTTTTCGATGCAGAAAATTATCTTTACTTCTATGGTAGATGACGCGAAGCCGAATACATTCGTAAGGATCTCCCTTTGGCCTCGGCCTGTTGCGAAAACCAGGCCAAACCAACTCTATATATCTAAAGGAAACTGCTGCTAAATCTGAAGCCACACGATCTTGGTCTTCTTTTTTACGATACAGTTAACCTTTAACTTCAATGCACCAAACATAATGAGATTTGGTAGGGTGCTTATTTATTATTTTATGTCCTGCATCCAATGAGATCTTCTAATATATATATAAATATATCAGAAAGACATCACGATTATAGAATATCTTAATCCTGAAGACCTCTGGATAACCCAAGTTCCCACGTTAAGACATGATACAATGCCTTGTAATTTATGCCATAACAAATAACGAGAAAATATAGACCAGGCTAAAAATTGAGCCCGACTAAACCTTACTAGTTCACATAATTAAGTCAAATTCCAAATATCAAAGTAGATGGCAAATTAAGGAGTGTGAACTTAACAACAAGATCTGTTAACAGTTGAACCACCTATACATCTACAGGAAGTGATTAGACGATTATCGTGTGATTGAAAAAAAAATGCTGTTTAGAATGATGAGATAAAATAAATTGGATGAAATCATACGTAGAAAAAATATTGAACTCTTGAGAGATCTTTTTTTAATCCCACATAAAAAGTATCCTAGCCCAAGCACTTCCATGTGGTGCAGTAAAAGGCAGCAAATTTTCTTGCCAAATGCAAATCAGAAAGTATAACCAAACCCTTCTGTATATTTGCAGACATGGACACATGATAGAGGAAAAGCCATTTGAAGATACTAGTGTCACGGATTCATCGGGGTCGCAGAACAGTGAACGGAGGACATATTGGCACAATCCAACCGTCTTCACATCATGGAAACCTATTCTCCATCGGTTTCCGGTGCGACCAATTCACGAATCCTTCCAAGCCAACCTCAACTTCGAAGTGGAAAGTAGAGTCAAACTAACTCACTAAGAGATTCTTAGAAGCCCACTGCTATTTAGCAGTCTGGCTTTTCAGGCTTT